TCGCGCCTCAACTCTAATCAGTAGCGTGGTGTGCCAAACCAGTTTCTCTCCCGTACCCTCCTTGGGCCGATGACGGGTTTGCAGCCGCTGCGCATCAAACACAGCTGTCAAGTGTTCGAGGTGTCTCTTCCGCCATCTTCATGAAACCTTTTTCCTTTTCCGACGATACCGTTGAGGCTCCCCTCTGGAGTACTTCTTCGTCTGTTCCCTCATCTTCAACCTATTGAGAAACGGTGGTCCTACCAGGAGCTATGTTACAACCAACATAGCTTTATTGTTATTATTATTATATCAAAATATATATCACAAAAACTGATCAATTACCTGCAAAAATATAAAATAATAGATAGCAATCAATTTGCATATCAGAAAAACAAAAGCACTCTCATTGGAAAGTCTAGTAGAAGTATTAAATGAAAAATTACACAAGGGATTGCGTGTTCTAGCAATAAGCATTGACCTGTCAAAAGAATACGATGTGATAAGCCATGAAAATATATTAGATGCACTGGATAGTGTAGGAGTTAGAGGCAATGTTTTAGAGCTATTTAAAAACTACTACTTAGAAGGATGATCATTTAGGATCAAAATAGATAAGACTTATTGTGAAATAAAAGCTGTGGAAAGGGGAATTTCACAAGGAAGTTACCTAGGTCCTATACTTTATCTAATATTTGTGAATGACTTAAAACATTATCTAGAAAATGATTACACACATTTGGCTTATCATTTCTATTTGTTCCTCAGAAAAAATATAAATTTCAGTAGAAACAATTCACGTAACATACAGTAACTGGCAAGCAGTACAGATGGTTGGGTGAACCGTAGTCAACAACGGTTATACGCTGAAAAACAAACCAACAAACAAACAAAAATACAAAGTAACACACCCACATTGACAAGTACAAAAAGTACTTAGAGATAGTTGGGAGGGTACTGGACAAAACAAATTTTATAAGAAAGGTATTTTTTGGTAGATCCTCTTATTAGCCAGTTATATAGCTGTCTCAGAATGTTATATCGCCAGGTCTCATCAAAAGCTTTTTCCAGGTCAAAGAATACCGTAATCTTATGTTTTCTTTTGATGGAGGTATTCTGAATTGCGTTTTCCAGGTATACGTATTAGCTGGTCGATTGTAGAGTGACGATGTCTGTATCCGCACTGATGTATGCTCAGGGTTGTTTCTTTCGAGACACCATGTTAGCCGGGTGTTGATCATTTTTTCCGATATTTTTCCTGGACGGCACGTCAACGATACCGGGCGATACTTTTCAGGTTTCAATGGATTCTTTCCAGCCTTTAAAAGTGGAATTATTATCGATTCTTTCTAGACTTTGGGGTAATTGCTTTGTGTCCAAATGTTAATATATATGTTTAACATTGTGGATAATATTTCCTTCGGTAACCGACGTAACGTGATGTAAGGGATATTGTCTGATCCTGTTGCCGTGTTTCTAGCTGCATTTATGGCGTCTTGCAATTCTCTCCATGTGAAAAGAGCGTTATATGGATTATCTGTATCGGTTGTAAAGTCTAGTACTTGTTCGTTTTCATTTTTCTCGAGAAAGTCTTTACGGTAGCTGTTTCTGTTACTAGCTATGGAGTATTAGGTCGCTAATGCGTTGGCTATTTCGTCACGGTTGCAGATTAGTTGTCCTTCGTGTTCTATTTTTGTGATAGGACTGAAAACATTTTCCTCAGCAATTGACCGGATTTTCTGCCATATTTCCGTGACTTTGGTCGTCCGAGATATGGTCGTTATGTACTTTTCCCAGCTTAATCGTTTTGCTGTTAGTATTTTTCTGAGATGCAGTGCACTCAGATAAGATTGTCTTGGGTTTGTGTACGCCTAGGTTGAGGGCTCTTCTTTTCCCCCTTTTTGCTTCTTTGGTCTCCGTATTCCACCATGGTACTGGAATCCTAGATGAGCGGCCACTTGTCTGTGGAATGTATTTTGCAGCAGAAGATATTACAGTGTTGGTGAAATCTGTTAGGTCTTTATCTGTGTTTCCACTGACATTTATTGGTGACATATGTGTGATGAAGCTGGACCAGTCTGCACGGTTGGTACCCCAATTTTTCGGTAAATATACTTGGTTTGTTTGATGATACCAACAGAGGAAAGTGATCACTCTGATGAAGATGTGGAAGTTGATTCCACGTCAACCGTGTTGCAAGATTTGGACTACATATTGAAAGATCTATGGCGGAGAATTAGCCATTTCTAGCGTTCACGTGAGTGCTTACTCCTGTGTTTAAAAGTACGTATTCATTGTTAAGTTGCAGGTCATCGATTCTGCGACCGGAGTCATTTGCTCGAGTCTACAGCCCCATGTGGTACTGCGAGCATTGAAGTCACCTAGAATAAGAAATAGAGGCTGCGGTTGATCGATCAGGTCTTGTAGTTCATTTTGCCATGAGGCGTCGGGTAAGTATATGCAACATAACGTCATCTTCAATGGCTTGTATAAGGTTGCAGCTACAGCTTGTAGAGGTGTTTTGAGATTGAGACTAGTAGGATGTGTATTGCTGACCAATATGACAACACCACCATTAGCTCGTCTATCAGGTTCTACTTCACTGCGAAAGGTCTTATAACATCTAAAATTGAACGGGTCTTCTGGTTTAAAATGAGTTTCTTGTAATCACACACACACACACACACACACATTGGTGTGATTGGTCAGAAGCAATTTCAGCTCACAATAATGCGAGATACAGCCGTTAATGTTCCATTGAATAATATTTTCCATGGTTGGAATGAGGTTCTGCAGCTATAGGATGCGTGGATCCTGCTTATTTTATTGGTATTCCTCTTGGCCATCCTTTCTTCTTTTTCTTCTTAAGAGGGATTAGGCTTGGATCGATGGACTGGTAATCATTATTTTTCGCACTTACCATCGATCTTGTCTCAGAGCCAGTGGTTGTGTTTTGATCATTGGTGATGGGCGATTTCGTTTTTCGTTTGAGGAAGTCGTCCTTAGTGTATGTTGGAGGCGATCGGCTTCGAACGCCTTTTGCCGATACTTATTTGTTGGATAAGGCTGCAAGAGCAGCCACTGAGTTTCTTTCTGCCTCATTTGGTGGGGGTCTTGAAGATTGCTTTTCATTTACTAGTTCACTTTGAGTGTTTGTAGTTAAGTTTTCTGTGTTGATTTTGTTGTGAATTTTATTAAAATACTTTTCTATGCAGCGAGTTATTGCAGGCATTAGTTCTTTTACTACTAATGAAGGAAAGTTTGTGCTTTTACGTATGTAATATTTCCTTTATTTTCAAGACACACTCTCTTTTTGCTTCAGGATAACTGATATTTTTACTTGTTATATTCCTGCCTCCTGCTTATAGATTGGGCAGTCCCGTGACCTTGATGAATGCTGCCCGCTGCAATTAATACATTTGATAGGATCTATGCATGGATCATCACTATGAAATAGGTTACTTCATTGACATACTTTGATTCTCGCACATCAAGCTGCTCGGACATCATGCTGTGTGTCCAAAACGTAAGCATTGAAAAAATTGCGTTGGTGGAGGAACATTCGTACGGTCAGACGATGAATTCCGTCTTTAATCTTCTCTGGTAACGTACAACGCTTGAACGGCAGGACATGGGATGCTGAAGGAATTATCTGCCCATCCCGCCTCATATTTAGCATATCACAGGCAATGACTCCTTGAGAAGATAGAAGATTCTTGAACTATTTCCTCTTCCCTGCAGTTTTTATTTAATTAATTAATTAATTAATTAATTAATTAATTAATTTATTTATTTATTTATTTATTTATTTATTTATTTATTTATTTATTACGTCAAAACAGTTAAAAACTGTGTATGGCGTGATTATAACGTTTAGTAAGTCACTACAAACTACAACATCTTTGCAGGTATTCTGCGTGCTATGAACACTTACTTCGGCATCTATAGTGCATATTTTGCTTAATTCTAATGACTTAATTGTCATTGAATGTTTCTATCAAGAATCCGGTTGGAGTTATATTCATGTCTCTTACGGCAGATCCGGCACAGGTTAATACTCTTCCCTATTAGAAATGGGCTCACTTTATCAAAATTCCCTTATGTTATTTTAACCACAAGTTACTTTATTTCTGCTCTGGCGTTCTTGAACAAGTCATCCGAATTTATTGTTCCCCAAATTTTCACTCTTTTTTCATTGAACTCTGGGGTTTTTTTTCTAGACGAGGGTTTTTAAGGGATTTCTCAACCCTAGGATTGCAAACTTCCATACGAGTCCCGCGAAGTTTGCTATCACTCGTAGCAATATCTGCCAGGGGTGACAAGTTATCCGCAGCCCTGGCATTGCAGTCACTGGGTGACGACGCGGTCCTGTCGGTGTCTTGCTTGCGCACCAGCGACCGCCGGGGCTTCGATCCCCTAGACCGAAACGGTTGATTCTGACAGATCCTCCATCTTGGTTTTTTTCTTCAGGGTCACCTTCCCCTAGCGTTTTTGAGCTACCGCCAGCTTATGAAAACGGAAGGAAAAAGGATGGACAGAAAGCAGAGATAGAATAGAAGGGTAGAATGGAAACGACCCCCTAGCCCTCACACCCTAATAGCGTCGGGGCGGAAACATAAGAGTTGGCCGATACGATATTGGCCTACAGGACAGAATACAGAAGTGTATCACAAATAAGAGGAAGCAATGACACACCAAGTTTGAGGGAATGACGGGATGTTTAGGGGAGTGACAGCAGACAGCTGCTGCGATCCAGCTGTCTTCTACGTCAGGGGGAGGTCTCGAGGTGCTATTTTACTAAAATCCCCGGCACCACACGGGGTATTATTATTATTATTATTATTATTATTATTATTATTATTATTATTATTATTATTATTATTAAAGACGTTTCGTTCGAGGGTCCGCGTTGTCGTTCTTTGTGTTCGAATGTGCGGTAGTGAATCAATTTCCTCTCGTGAGCACGATAAGGGCACAGTTATATTATTTTTAATGTTTTATTTATTTGTAAAATATTAGTAATGAAAGGTAGACAGGCATTAGTAAAAAAGAAAAGGCTGATAATATTCTCTGACTCTGTTCAGAAAGCTGACCATAGAGGTATTAGTAAGTAGTAGCTGACCCATTCAAAAACAATTGAATGTGAATCCACCAGCGTGACCGAACCTTCACTACTTGTGTATCAATCCAACCAACTCTTCAAAGATATTCGGAGTCGGACAGAAAGTCGAGACGAGAGCCATCCTTCGTATTGTCTGACATTGTCATTTAAATCATTGAGCGGTGTAGATTATCTGAGTGTGACTATTGCGTTTCGTAATCGGATAATTATTTGACAGAAATTTGGTGAGCGTCACAAATTGTTTTGTGATGGTGTGAGATATTTTAGGCTGAACGTTCTTTTGCATGTCTGTTAAATGGATGGGACGTTTAAGAGACTTGCACCATGTGTCAAATAATGAGATTAATTTCACAAGATAATGTTTAATTTCCTGTTTCAGGGATCATGGCCAGTTCTTTTTTAGATCTTGAAAGAAATGATGCAGATAATGCACAATTTCTTACAAATGAAAATGACATGACCGAAAAAAATTTAAATACACCTCGTGGTCATATCGCGCTTAATGTGAATGCTGAAGAATTGACTGGAAATGTTTTGTTAGCTGCAGGAGATGGAAATAGAAACATAACCAAGAATATGTCAGGGAACACTTCACAAGATTTCATAACCAATGAAGTTGATAAAACTTCCCAAATGCTTAATACTAGTGGAAAGAGAAAACGTGAGCAGAGTCCAGACACCTATGAAAAAGAGCCGATTGAAGGGGTTGAAGGTAATTGGCATTGAATTGGTTTTCGTTTATGTTATAATATAGGTTGTTTTACATCAGGAAAATTCCTTTTGTGCACTTGTTGTTTGTTCTTTAGATGAATATTGTTCAATTTTCTGTAGGACCTTATTTCAATTAGTAAATGTAATTTTTTGTGTATTTATACTGTTTTTATAGCGAGTGTTCTTGAGTGGTTCGTTTCATAATAAGATTTGATTTAGAATGGATAATTTATTATGGTATATCCGTTGTCTGTATTAGTAATCATATGAATACTAGTTGACATTCAGATAATTACAACCATTTATTTCAATATATTTAATTTAATTTTGGAGACTGCATGTAATAGTTATTGAGGGGTCATTTGGTCAAATAAGAGTATAACAGACAGAGATAATTATAATAATGTTCATGATTATCACTTTGTTTGCTCATAGTATTTCTGCATTTGCAGTAAGACTATAAACTTAGCGGATAATAAACAACATAACAGCCGATCTGGCAGGACGTGATTCTGGATATTTGCCTAATTAGACCGAAAAACTGATTTTTGTTGTTATAGAAGGTATAAGTGACTATAAATCAGTTTTAGTCACTTAGTTCATTTTTAGAATTAAGTATTTCAAGGAAAAGTATTGCCTCTGGTATTCTAGTGAGGGAATACAAGAAAGCAAATGTTCAAAGGTTTCAAAATTACTTAAAAGAATGATATGGTGAGTTTCTTAGAATAGGAGGGGGAACGGAAGAAATAAGGGGAGTGTTTAAAAATATTCTAGTAAATGCTAAGCAGACTTATGTACCAAGTAAATTGTTGAAAATTTAGCTGCGATCCAGAATATTATAATGCAAAGATTAGGCGATTGAAAAGAAAAACCAGAGAAGAATTTAGCAAGGTAGTGACCATAGTGAAAATCATGACATTATTTCAATATTATTCAAAAGCGTTAAGGAAGGAAAAGAAAATGGCAGAGGGACGTTATTAGAAACATATTCTTGATGCGGAGGACAGTAATAATTGTTAGGTATTTTTTAATTACGTTCGTAGGAGGAGAGGAAGTAAAGCTGGGATTCCAATTGTTAGTGTTAATAATTCGCCAATAATGGACGACAGAGAAAAAGCAAAAACTTTTAACACCTATTTTAGCTCAGTTTTCAAGCAGAATCCCAAAATTGTTAAAATACAGACACTGACAGTGTCGAAGTCTTTTTCATATTGATGTAAATACCTTGCGAAAAATAATAAAATTAATGAAGAGAGGAAGATTACAAGGCCCAGATTGTATTTCCACGGATGCCATTAAATTGGGTGGAGAGACTATTCTATTGTATTCAATTAGGTTATTAAATGTATCTATAAACAATGCTTGCATGCCGGAAGATTAAAAGCTGGCTCCCATAGTACCTATTTTAGTGAAAGGAAAAGGGTCAACGTGATAATAATAGATTTTGCTGAAGCTTTTGATGTTGTTCCACAAGATCATCTTATAAAGAAAGTATTAGATTCGGGTATAGACACTAGAGTGGTAGCATGGATAGAAGAACTACTTCGGTACAGGAAACAGAAGGTCCAAATCAGAAGTTACTTATCAACCTCAAGAAACGTCATGTCAGGAATTCCACGAGGAAGTGTCATCGGACCACTCCTGTTTCTTGCCTTTGTGAATGAATTGCCGACAAATTTAGCTTCAAATGTACCACTCTTTGCAGATGACTGCATAATTTATAAGATTATCTACTCAGAGAAGGACTAGGATATTTTGCAATGAGGCACATCTGGGCAGAAACAAACGACATGGAAATAATCAGTTCAAATAGCTAGTCCATCATGTTTGGTAGGGGCCGCAGTTATAATAAATATGAGTACAAATTGAACAATTATGATTTACCTTGAGTCACGTCTTGCAAATATTTAGGAATACAGCTAGACAGGAAATTGAGCTGGGAAAATCAAGTCAATTTCATAGTAGGGAAAGCCTGTATATGTATGTAAATATTTACATTTTGTTATGTAGATTCTGAAAAAGAGTACAGTGAGAGCCAAAGAACAACATGTCATTAGTGCAATTATATTAGAATATGGCACGATACGTTGGGATACAGAATTTTACAGCAAAAAGGTCTGGTGTAGAGCATCAAAATTTACTTTCAAGAGTACCAATTATAAAGGAGTATGGGAGTCACTCGAGAGGAGGAGATTAAAGTCGCATCTCTATGGTATGTTTAAAGCGTGCATAGGCCTTCGAGGGTGGAAAGAAATTCAAAGTCGATTAACAAAACCTACATATTTCGGCAGAGCGGATCACGTGCACCAAATTCAGGCAAGAATTCAGAAAACAGACGTTGGGAAATATTCATTCCCGAACGGAACTATTAGAGATTGAAATGGTTTGCCTGTGACAATCTTTCATCCCTTTCCTCAAACCTTGAGCAAATTTAAAAATTAATTAGTTTCCTGATTGTTGATATGTGCATTACAATATCTTCAATATTATTCAGTGTTCATAACTATGTCTACTATGTAATTAAATATTATTATTATTATTATTATTATTATTATTATTATTATTATTATTGTTATCATTTTTATTAATAATAATTGTTATAATTATAGTAAGAATAATTATTATTATTATGTCAGTGTAAGAAAGACATTACAGCTGAGTGATCTGCAACGAAGTGAAGTGTGGTGAGGTGGAGTGCTATGAAAGATAGCACGGTAAAATGTTAATGGTAATTTATTAAGTTGTTAAGTTCTGTGATATTAAGTTAGTGTATTCTGCCAGAAAGTTCTGAAACTTAATTGCAGAATTAGTAATAAATCTATTCTAAATCTAAATTAGTAAATAACAATCAAATTAATATGAAACAATTACAATATGATCGTAATCATAAATGACAGAATATTGCACCACATTGTAAGTTGCACTACAATCAATCATAACATTTAAGCTTAAAAGTACTTAGATAATATTACTGGCACATTTCCTCTGAGAATTTGATTACAGTGATATTAATTTAAGTTAAATTCTTGTCAGTCACTCTACACCTGTCCATGAAATCCACAATTACAGAACAGTCATTGTAATTTGTGTTAACTGACTTAAGCCACAACTAATAAGTTCCATTCTGTAATTACTAATAAAAATATTTATAAAGATCTTGTGTGGAGTCCTTACTATAGAAGTTGAAATCTTCAGGCTTCTGAAATGGGAATGAAAAAGCAATAGGCTGAAATTTAAATATGTAATACCAAGTGCATGTGCATGTTAATAGCAGACCTTGTTTAATATGTATTGTATTACAAATACCATTTCCTTAGAAAAATATGTATCACATGCTATGGGCTCAGGCTCACCTCAAGAGTTAACAGGTTGTCAGTTTGGTCAAAAGTGAACCTTATTCATAGTGAATGCCAACTGGAGTATGGCAATGAGGAGGGAGTGTGGGTGGATTGTTGAAGTAGGGAGTGTGGGTGGATTGTTGAAGTAGGGAGTGTGGGTGGATTGTTGAAGTAAGTGAAAGGAAGTCTAGTAATTAGATATAAATAATGTAACATATATTCTCTTTCATTTGGGAATATGATTTGTTGTATATGTTATTTGATTATTTTATTATTATTGATTATTTGATTATATGATTATTTTCTAATTTTGAGTTTGTAGTTGGATATAACCTTCTGTTCAATGTTCAAATAGCCAGCTACTACATGTCATGTTCTGTTTACTGGGGATTATAAAATATTCCTTCCTTCCATGTTTTTGTAGTCTGCACTTTGTATTAGTTCAGAACAAGAAATGCCTTGTAACTGTGTAAATAACCCAAAAACATTGTTATATCTGTGAAGAAATAACTCTGAAATGGCAGAAACTGTATTCTGAGAAGGAAGTGTTCTGTCGGGTGTAAGGTAGGTGACTAGGACAAGAAATAGGCCTCCCATTAATGTGTGTGTCATTCATTACACTCCTGACATGCTGTTAAAAGGTTTATGACATGTGCCTGTGAGTGAGCCAGAACAGATCACACAACAGACTCTTACTTTTGTTTGAAATAGCTGAAACAGCCTCAAAAACAAAGAAACCTGTGCAAAATGCTAATTTACTGTCTGATAAAGTCACAGTGAAGAATTGCCGGTTCCACCATCCCCTGAAAACATGACAGTGAGGAAGTCAGAAGGAGATATCCATGCTGACCCAACATTTCAAGCCTTCTGTTGAACATTCCAAGCACCTTCATTTTTCTTAACACTTATATTGTTGTATTCCTTCCTGCATACATGTGGGTCTATTATTAAAGTTTGTCATTATTTTGGATAAGGCAAATTATCTTCCAAAAACTGTGTTTTTTGTTCTAGTTATAGAAAAAGTTATTTTTTTTTTAAGACCAGAGTTATCTGCCAGTGTATTACTTTGTATTCATTGTTAATTTGTAAAATATTGTAACGTCACCACATGGCGGCCAGACTTACGAACAGCTAGCGTGTGTCAACAGGCTAGTGTTGGCTGGGCAGCCACCTGCACCATCAGGGAGGTTGGGGGTTGGGGATCATTTTAACTGCCAAAACAAGTGAGCATAGATGCTGAAGTAAGTGTGAGTTTTTTGAGGGTGGCTTCATTTTGAGTGTGCCTCATGGGGGAACATGACTCTTTGCCTGAAAGGCAGATGTGTATTCCTTGTTACACTGCAATTGCACATAGCACTGGTGTTTGGGCACCGGTGCGGTAAAGCGTTGTGGAGGAGACACTGGCCAAGGGACAGGGAGCAGTGCGAATGGGAGTCACGGAGGTAGATTTTGAACGTAACCCCCAGAGCTGTACATAGCGTGTAAAATCTTGTAAATAAATAGATTTGTAAATGGAGTTAGTGTCTCTGTTATTTCACTACCATGATACCACAATATAATTACTCAAAGTATTTTAGAGGTTTTCTGAGATATTGAAATTAATATCAAAAAATATTTTGGTTGCACGGATAAAGCCTATTTTTAATGCCCATTGTATAATTGCATCAGTGTAGTTTCTAAATTTCTCAATTTCAATGACAATTATTTCATGAAAATTTCAAAAATATCCTTAGACATAAATGTGTTACTTTGAATCAGCAGAGCTATATCTTTCCTTTTTTCAACCCTTCACCGTTAAGTTTAACTAAAGTGATTCAATCACATTAAGTAGTTGGTGCTAGTGCACTAGTAAAACAGGTGGTATCTTCCATAAATAATTCTAGGCTGACCAATAAGGTCTCATTTCGTGGATTATGGCATAAGAAACCTAACTTGTCACATTAAAAATATTAGTCCCTTTGGTGGATTGTTTTAGAGTTGTGCATGATGGTAGAGTATTACAGCATATGTGCTAGATTTACTTATGCACCTTATTATGCAACCTATGCCATAATATCCAAGTTTCTATTTTTTCAATTTAAATTGCGTTGATCAAGAATTAGAGGGTAATTCTCTCTCCTACTGTAGAATGTTTCAGGGATTTTATGTTGGTAGTTTCTTAATGGTGTATAATGATCATGTAATGTAATGAATAGAAAGGATTAAATGACCTTGGCGTTTTCTTCAAAGTCCCTATTTATTTTATTTATTGATAACAATTTTTGCAGTGAAAATCAGTTTTTATCTTGTGTACAAACCAGTTATTTCAAGATGTGACTTCGGTGTTTTATTTATTATACACTTCAGTTACATAGGTATAAATTAACAAAATTCTTTCTTGCAGATAGTGAAGGATCTTGTCCAGAATCAGATGAAGATAATTCTGAAGTAGTTGTTGCATCACCACAACCGTCATCAGCTATTACCAAAGCAAATTCTACTGAAAAAATATCAAGAAATATTGATGATGAACTTCCAGACACTGTAACTTTGTTGAAAACTCCAGAAGGAGCAAAAGTTTATGTAGTTGGTACTGCTCATTTTAGCATTGAGAGTCAAGAGGATGTTGCCAAAGTAAATAGATATCACCCTGAATATTTGTGTAGTAGTGTCTCAATTGTATGGACCTTAGTCATGTAGATTCTGGATAATTCAGACATCCAAAGAAAAAAGTGTGTTAGTGGCATTATATAAATTCTTTATAATAATGATTAATGCTCTAAGTATGTGATCTGTGAATAATTTTTTTCTCTCCTAAATGAAAAAATGATCTCATAGACTCAAAATTGCATTCTATATTTTCTGAGAGGATCTCTCCTTGGAAAGTTCATACATTTGAGATTCTACGGTATTTCTGTTCTACTATTTATTTTAAAAATTAATAAAAGAAATATTGAGGAGGTTGCTACTTGTACCAGTCTATTTTTAATGGTATGCTGACAAAAATAATCATTAATTAGTACCAGTACCAATTTAAATCTTGAAATATATTATACATAACAGAATGTGTAATAATAATTAATTTATGAACACTTAGTTTTATTTGCTAAATGGTTTTCAGTTAGTAATTTCTTTTATCACCTTATCAATCTACATTGAGGAAGGAGTAAGAAATTTTCTTTGTAAACAATGATTTCAAATACTCTTCTGTGCAGGAGTTTGTAGCTGAGTGGGAATTTCACTTCCAATATTTTTTCCACATACTTCCAACTTTCCCACATACAAATTGGCTAATTTGTGAGAAATACGAAAAGTGTCTTCTAAATGTTCAATTATTCATAATCTATTCTTATAAGAAACATCTAAAGAAAGCGAGAACATAGACGTTATATTTTGTAACATTATGATCCAGCTTGTGATCCGCAAACTCACGCTTAGTCTTAAAATAGAAAAAATATTATGTGGATTTAGAGGCAAATTTTTAAAATTTTCACTATAGTTTGTCTCTGAAAAATAAAAAAAAGGGTTATAAATTAATTTCTGAAAGTGTTTTATTCATAAACTTACTGAACACATAGTTTATTTATTTCACCGAATTCACATCTTTTTCTCAAGATATTCGTCATATTTCATTTTTAAACTGTGCTCTTTCTGCAATCATTTATATGCACACGCGCTTTTGATCATAATTTAATTTTTTTTAATGGACACCAGCAATAAAAAAAAGTATGTACTTCAAAAACAATTCGTTCATCAATACCAGTCCACTAACCAATGCAATCTGACAATTCAGGAAAAAATGTTAAATATTCTGTTCAAATGTAATGCGAAGTTTCCGCTACGTTCTTACAGAGGCACCAAAGAATAAAGTAAATACACCAACGATGGTGTATGAAGCAATGTTGCCAAGCATTGATTCCATAGTCAACAAGGACTACTTAAGCTACGGTTTAGCAGCCATTATTGGTAAACAAATTTAATCCATCCTTATTTTGAACTTAAGCTGGAAGTAACTATTCCCAGAATAAGCGTGTTATAGCTTTTACTAGTAAGGCTGAACATTTCTAGTCCATGGAAGTTCGTTACATTTGTGTATAAAATAAAATAAAAAAATTACTTATATTTGTGAAAATTTGAAAATGTCCCAAGGTTTTCATGTAAAGTTCCCCCCTGAATTAAAAGATTCATTCCAAAATCATCAGGTCTAGATTCTGGTCAAGAAAGAGCAGTTTCGGTGAAAATCTTGTGTATGGTTCAGGTGCCAGTGTTTTTCATAATTTGACATCCAGACATACATTTAATACAGACAAATTTTGTAATTTAAAAAACCGTTTTTTTGGTATCAAAATGTGTACTTTCTTCCTAATTAACATGAATTTTCTTTGTTTTACATAACTTTCTGTAAAGTATGTATTCTAGAAAGTAAAAATGCATCATTAAGAAAATAGAGCTTAGCCATTCATTCTAGTAGGCCACATATACTGTTGCATCAGATATTTTGTCAAAATTAGAAGCCCATCCTAGCAGTAATTAAAGTGTTATCTCTGTGACCAATCCGTAAATATACGTTGTAAGCAAATGAGCTTTAAAGGTAATGCTGGTAGGGAAAATATGGATTTCATCAGTGCAAAGTAAATTTTTTAAAATTGTTTTTTAACCGGTAGTTATCAACATGAAATCTTTATGTACGTGAATGTGGAACTATATTTTTATTTTTTGAAAAATTAATTTGTTTGGAGTCTGGTAATAGTATCTACCCTCTTCATTTGTACAGACATTTCTTCTTTTGGTAAGTTCTTGCAAACTTTCAAGTTGCTTCTCTTAAATATTTTTATTTCTTTTCAAATAAAAAAAAAATTGAATTTAGAAAGAGTAACTTATATGAATGTCACATTTTAAATTTACTTTCCATCAATCTTCTTGAAGCTCTTTGTTGCTGCAATATGTGATGGTATGGACTAATTTGGTAGTTCGGTCAAGCGTTGTTTCCATTCCTCTAGTGAGAATACAGAGTATCCTCTTTGCCTTGCACGTGAATGTGGACCAAAGGAATGTACCTGTTTGTTGATAAGGCACTTAATGTTCCTTCAAAGCATTTTGTAGTAAGAATTAAATGATTAAAAGGTTCACACCGAAATGTTAAAATGTGCCCTAGATTTCCTCTTTCCAGTGGATTTTTGAAGTTACTTTGTTAAACAAAGTTTGACATTTTCTGTAAATTGATTCATCAATTGGCCAAGTTTCAACCAGTCAGAATTAATCTAAGTAAGTTTGTATTGAAATAGAATTTCAACTTTTTAAGCTCACTAAAGTTATGATATTCAAAATTTGAAAATTCAAATGTTTTTACCAAACTATTTGACTATTGTGTACTTACATTTTACATGATCGTGTAAGTTGATGTTCATGCACATGCATGTAAATTGTCAATGCTCATTTGATTTTCTCTTTTGCCTTTCAGGTATGCAATCCTTTTTTCAGGACGAACTTTGTAAATGGTTGAATAAACATAAATAAATCTATTTATTAACTTGAGTAATATAAATTTATAATTTAAGAGGAAAATAAGTTCTTAATGAAAAATTGGGTGTGTATTTTTTATTGAATCTTCATTCATTCATTTTATGAGAATGAATGATCATGTTTAATAAATTATATTTTTGAGGGGTAGGTGAAGCATCAGTAGTGTGAATTCAAAAATTCAAAGCATATTAATCTTCTGTAGCTACAAGTTAGAAATATTATAATGTATATTGTATGTCCATGTACAAAATGTATATTGAGCAATCAGTTTCAGAAATGTCATTGTTATTCTTTGAATTTCTTCAGGGCAACTTCTTTCTTGTGAAATTTTCCTTTTGTGTCTTAAGTTTGTTACTACATTTGCTGTATTACCCACTTTTTTGAAAACTTTCAAGAATCTAACTTCTAAACAATTTATTTTTGATTTTAAATCAATGGGGCTTTCTTGAAATATTTGGGCCAAACAATTAAGTTTTTGTATTGCACACCATTATTTTAATGTATTAACGTCTTATTTTGAATCCCATTTGCATATTGATATACTGTGTGTGTTTCAGATCATTCAAGCTGTCCAACCTCATATTGTATTAGTTGAACTATGTAAAGCCCGTGTTAATATTTTGCAACTGGATGAAAAAACAATTTTGGAAGAAGCCAAAAATATAAATTTTGGTATGTTTTATAAATATATTTTTTCTGTTTGGTTGCTGTATTGATTTAGTTTTAGGTTTTATTTCTATTTATTTTTCTTCACCCTAGAGAAAATCCATTCCACTATTAAGCAAAATGGTTTAATTCATGGCTTAATGTACATCCTCCTCCTGAGCATGTCTGCTCATATTACTAAACAATTAGGTATGGCTCCAGGAGGTGAATTTCGACGAGCTTTTGCAGAGGTAAGCTTATTTTTTCACATGTTTTCCAGCATTTATAAATAGTTTGATGTAATATTGTGAGGCAAATAATTAAATAGTGCTTTCTTCATTAAAGAAAATTATTTTTAACTTTGCATTTGAAATGAAGTAAACTTTTAATACTAGAATTAATTTTTATGGAAATGTATAATTTATTACATTGCATTTTGAATATCCAATTTAGTGATATATTTAATCATGGTTCACATATTAATGAAAACCCACGTATAACAAGATATATCTTATATCAATCAGAGAGCAGTCCTGCTCAACATGGTTGCTCATCAAGCTGCATCTCACAATTCACAAATTAAAATTATGTGTGAAACAAAATTTCACTATGCCCTGTATATTTTTATCATATTTTTTACAAAATATTGTCAATATAAATAATATTTAAAATACACTTGAAATAAAATTATATTTTAAAATTTGTTTCAGTTGATTATATTACTATTTTATCAAATTATAATCTTTAATTTATGGAATTCTGGAGATATGAATGCCAACTGCACGAAATCTTTTTTTTTTTTTTTTTTTTTTTTTTTTTTTTTTTTTTTTTTTTTTTTTTAAGGTCAAATATTTTGTTAATTGTGCACAAATATTTATAGGATAATTCATTCGTACAATACTTTCATATTTTCAATAGCTTCTTCATAACCTTAGCTTGGTGGTAATGTTGCGTATAATGGTTGGTCAAATTTTTGTGTTATTTCTGAATATTACGATATATCTAAGTTTACTTACCAATAATGTTTGTACAAAATTACTGATGCTGATGGAAGTTAATATACATTTTCTTGATGATAAACATTAATAATTTTTTGTTAATTTGTTGTATTCTTTTCTCTGTGCAGGCTAAACAGTTTCCTCATTGTATTGTGCATTTAGGAGATCGCCCCGTACATATAACTCTTCAACGAGCACTTTCTTCTATGTCATGGTGGCAAACAATTAGAGTAACATGGCATTTGATTATGTCAAAAGGTCCTATCAGGTATGTAATTGGAGGGACTCAATGCCAAAGAGGCCTAACCCACATCTACATAAAATGGAGTTATAGAATTTTCATGTTTCTACTGACGTTTGACAATGTTTTCCTCACACATTTTTTATTGGGTTTGGTTCAAATTTATACTGAGGGCTTGCAATGATGTACAAATGTAAAGCAAATTTTTAAAATGCCATTTTTCTCAGATTTTAATAGGAAAAGTTGTGGTTTAGACCCTTTTGATGCTTCTCAAATATTGCTTAATAGAGGCTTGAGTTCTAAGATAAAAGTGGTTGGATTGAGAAGAAGCTGCTTTCATTCAAAATTTTCTTTGCAAATTTATTTGCTTTGCATATATTATTAAGTATTTTAACTAATTACTATAAGTTACCTTAGAAAATCAATATTCTGTGAAAAAACTACCATCTTCTTTGATATTTGAGCCAACATTTGAAAAGGATTCTTTAGTATTAACATCTACTTTTAATATTTTGTGAAAAGCTAGATAAAATAAGGCGCAGTGGATGCGGGTAAGCTTTTCAAACCACGTGTTTTTTGTTGCTATGAATCCCGTTTTGAGTACGAACTTCGATGTCTGTGAACAACTTCCTTTCTATGTTTTTCACCTTTGTTAACATAATCGAAGATAACCATTTTAGTATTGACATACTTATAATATAAAGTGAATGGCATTTTTTCTTCAAAGCACATCCATTGCAGTTTCATCCATTCAGTCTTCTGATTGTAACATTTTTGATTTGTTACAAGTGTGTTTGTAATTGTGTAGATGACTTAGTCTTCAATACTCATATCAATTTTAAAAGGGTTTTTCTTCTTAGAACATTTAATAACCTTAATTCAATCATAAGGAGCAAAAACCAGGAGAGATGGCTCAGGGCATCAACTCTAAGCAAATGCCAGAGCAGTAACCTAACAAATGGGCCATGGACTGCGTGTGATCCTTCTTCGTCCTATCCTCATCCCTTACGCATACTTACACAAACCTTGCAGTGCACTACCACAGACGCCGGGAGATCGGCCGGTATTTAGAGCTTGGCTCGGCTGGGGTGGTGCCCCACTGGTGGGGATACCATGTTGGGGAAACACCCACTAACTGAACGGTAGGTGTATGCCACATCTTGCCATACAATGGAGGAAGAACACAGCCATTTCCCCCCAGCAAAAACATGCACTACACTTACGGGACTGATGACCCTAGTCGTTGACATGCTTTGGAATCGCTGTCAATCATAGGGTACAAACATGTTTTTATGGTATCATTTGCGTTTCTCAATTAGGCTAAAATCTTGATCACTTGAAAGAAAGGAATGACTAGAGAGGAGAAATTTATGGTCTTTTAAGATCTGTCTCAAGCCAATTATCACCCTCTCTCCGTGGATTAACAAAATACAGCAGTAGCATGTGCATCGACTGCAAGTGGGTTAGGTTGATCTGGATTGCAGAAAACTCAAAATAAAATGCCAAAACAAACCACCTCCAATATCAGTTGCCTGAAGTCTCATAGGTAGTTTATACACACACATGCACGCACACGCACACGTGCACCAATCACTTTTCGGTTAACATTTACAACCCTAACCAGAAAACAGTTTTTGAGGGTCAGGCTATTTTGGTGCTGATTGCCTCATTTTTAATGAAGAAACTTAACCCTTAGTTACTCATGCTATGTTTGTCTCTACACAAGTACCCATGAAGCATACTTTGTACCCCATGCTTCATTTGGTTGGAAAATGAGCTTAGTAAACTTGAATACTCTTTGGAAGGAATTTTTATTAAGTTTTATTTAAATGTATATGTATTACAATTTTAATTAAATAATAAATATAATGAATTCAGCATATTATGCTTCAGAACAAATTTTGCATTTGACAACTATAAGAATATGTTCCTTGAATGCAAATTGGTTGCTAGAGTTACAAATAATTGCAGTGGTATGGTTTTTTGCTCTTCTGCAAATGTGACAATGATTTCTTAATGTTGTTGGTAATTGTTCTTGATCACACACGACTTTGTTTTTTATGATCTTGAAGTAATGACTTCATTGCCAATGGTAGTGTGAAAATTTCTTCGTGCAACTTGCAAGTAATTTTGCATTAATTCTCAACTTAATCTCTGGATAAACTTTTTGCATTTCATTTGTGATTGTGATGCTTGATACAATATCTTTGCATTTATTCCAGTAATATTTTAAGAGCTTGAAGAACAACCAATTTGTCCATCTGTTTGTTCTCCATGCAACAGTGCAATTTGCAGAGTTGATCTACTGTATCAACACCACCTTTGGTTGAATTATAACCAAGTACAATTTCTGCTTTCCCTGTTTCTATAATCTTTATGTGATTATCATGCATTGCCAACAATAAAACTCTTGGCTTCCTTCTCTTAGGACCGTATGACACTGGTGTCACACATTTCTGAAAATCAAAAATAGAACCAATAACCCTGTTTTTATCGGGAAGGAACTGTCTGTGTTTGAGGTTTGTTTTTCCTTAACGTGCCAAGCATTCTTACTTCGTCTTCAAGAGGTCTTACAAGATATAAACTTGTATACCAGTTATCACATGTCACATTTCCGTTTTTACCCTTGTGTGAGCTAGCAATCTGTGAACGTCATTTGAACTGTTTGATTGCTGAAAGGGGCTGTCGGGTTGCTTGCTTTAGTATACTTCAATTTCTGAAGTGTAAAATGTTTTTGAATTACACTGCGCAAATACTTTTATCCCATATCTTGACAGTTTATTGAGCAAAACTACACTTACGTCTAAAAGGTATCAGCATCTCATTGCTTGTCATAACTTCACCAATGCTGTTATTATTTACACTGTTTAGTGAAAATTGGTTGAATATTGATCTAAGAGCTGCAAGTTTATCAGTATTTCTTCTCTCTTCTGTAGTTCCTATGTCATCAAAATGTATGCAATGCATAATGAATGGAAATCTGTTGTAACTCAATCAGGACTGGAATATGTTGATACCTAGGCCGTCAGTTGCCCACAACTCTTTGAAATTTGTCTTACTACATTTTTTCACTCAAGACAGGTAAAGTAAACCTACAAAATTCATTTATTGTAATAAATTTAACATACCGTTCTCTTCTATAATTTGAATGAATGTATCAGACACGTGTGCACTACAATATTGTCCAATATTTCTTCAGCAAAAAAAACAATTTGAATGCAATGATTACATCTGAAACATCATGAGCACTTCCTTTTGGTTCAGGGAATATCTTTACAAGATTCTTCTTGCAAATTTCCTGGAAAGCAGTATTTTATTCCATTTTAAAACCTTGTCTTTTCCTATGAAGCATTACTACACTTCTTGAATAGCTCTAGCACAATTAAACTCAGAACATGTCACATTCATTCTCGACGTCTACAACTTCTTCCGCCAAATCACTTGCAGTATTGCAAATTTAGTCTTCTGACGATTCCTCATCTAATAATTCTCATAACTGCTTTTCTGATAAATTATTCATCTCGTATTGTTCCGAATGTAAAACCAAATAAGTTAGTGTAGTTAAATAGTAGTGTAATAAAAAAATTCCAGTGATAATTAAAAGATCATGAAAACTGTATGTGTATGGTGTAGAAAGAACATTACACTTTCCAATGAAAATGTTATAATCTAGCCATTGCAGTAAATCTTATGCAACTGAGAATTGAGGAGGATAAGTTAAATGTCTGCAAGTTTAGGTCAAATGTTAGAATGCACACTGATGTTTTTTTACCTTCTATGACAATAACAGTCCCATGGGCACACAAAGTATGCCAGCATGAGTAACTAAGAGTTCTGTTTGTTTTTATAACTTTAAGTAAGTCAAAGCAATAATTATACAAAGTTTTATAAATTGCTTTCTTTCCAAGGAGTATTCTGTAAAAACTATTTGTAAGTACTTTTACTTTGATCATTAAAATAAGTTACGAATGGTCATATACCTGGCTCTGCATGAGTATCAGTAAAGTTTTTTAAACATATTGTACATCTCATTCACTTTTCGCATGTCAGTTACTTACTTGGAACCTCTTGGTTGGATGAACTTTTGTGACACATTAAAGTATATTCCCTATTTAATAAGGCTTTTCAATCTAGAACATAAAAGTGGCAGCAATACTGATTAACAACGAAAACCAAAAATGATCGGGGTACCTAAATTATGAACTTTTACTTTCTCTTATGAACAGCGTGGAGAAACTAATGTAATACCGCAAAAAAAAAAAAAAAACAAAAAAAAGTTTTTCTCTCGCCTCGCTCTCTTCCTCTTTCTTGCTCGTCGCTCTCTCCTTCTTTCTTGCTCGCTCGCTCTCTTACCTCTTTCTTGGCTCGCTCGCTCGCTCGCTCTCTCCTCTTTCTTGTCGCTCGGCTCTCTTCCTCTTGCTCGCTCACTCTCTCCTTTCTTGCTCGCTCTCTTGCCTCTTTCTTTCTTGCTCACTCGCTCTCTTCCTCTTTCTTGGCTTGCTTGCTCGCTCGCTCCTCTTCTCTTTCTTACTCGCTCGTCGCTCTCTTCCTCTTTCTTACTCGCTCGCTCGCTCTCTTCCTCTTTCTTACTCGCTCGCTCTCTTCCTCTTTCTTGCTCGCTCGCTCGCTTTCTTTCTCGCTCGCTCGCTCTCTTTTTCGCTCGCTTGCTCTCTTTTTTGCTCGCTTGCTCTCTGTCTCGCTCGCTCGCTCTCTTCATCACACTCGCTGTCTTCCTCACATGCCCTCTCTCTTTCATCTCAAGTGAGCTATAATGTACACAGTAAGATCAGTATGTATATGTGAAATTGAACATGATTAATAATTTTATCTTAACATTTTTTTCTATTATATAAAATTAATGTCTGAAAATGGGTTGGATTTCTCATATAAGCATTTCTACCTTTCTAGCAAAGAGGAAGTTGAACGCTGTAAACGCCGTGACCTCTTAGAAGAAATGCTAGCTGAAATGACTGGAGAATTTCCTGATTTGTCAACTGTGTTTGTCAAGGAACGTGATATTTATTTGACCCATTCCTTGCAGGTAGCTGCTTCCATACCAGTGTCGTGCCCTACTGGTGAGGATAATGATATTTTTTATTGGTATTCTTAAATTACATGATGCAACTTCAACGTGGTAGATCGGTATGAAATGTATTTTTTTCCTTGGTACACTCATACATTTAAGTTATATAAATAGAGACATTTTCTGGCATACCAAGAAAAGTAAGAGAAATTTGCCTTAAACATTATACAACCATTCTGAACTTAGTAAGAAATTCTGTTAGATAATTTAGGGTCCAAGACTCTTGTGCTAACTGATGTGAAAATTATTTGTTATATTTTTCAGGCGTGCAACCTCCTAGAGTTGTTGGTGTGGTGGGTATCGGGCATGTTCCCGGAATTGTTCAGCGATGGGGTAAAGTGCACCAAGAGGATATACCGCCCTTGTTGTACATTCCTCCCCCCACTCTGACAAGTCGCATTGTACGAATAGGTGCAAAGCTTTCTGTGGTTGGACTTGTACTATGGGGTTGCTCTCGCATCTTGCCTATTTCTAAAGTTTACCCTAAACTTTCAGAATTGAAAACTGTCGTCCAGAATGTCTTCCAGGTAAAATTCTTGAATATATATTGAATATGTGATGTGCATTTTAAAACATTAGCCGATATAAATGTTAATTTTAAGGTTCCCATGTAAATTAATATATTTCTAGGAGTAATGTATTTTGATTATAATGTATCCTAAGAACGAATTTTAATTAGAAATCTCTCTCTTGTCTGTGTGTATATAGTACATTCAGTGGAACCGTTTCCTTTTTCTCGCCTATTTTTCTACGGACAGAGGGACGGGCAGACAGGTTAAATTTCTGTTTAACCTGTAAAGTTTCTATAGAATTCAAATGGAGTTTGCTCGTTTGATTTGGTAGGGTCGGAAAGTCAGTTTCTCAATCAAGAGAATCAGTAACTAGTCAAGGGCATGTTTATTAATAGTAGCTCAGAGGAGGAAAATAAACCTGCATGGAGTGTTTTTACTGCCATAAAAAAAAAACACCATACGGTCAGCACTTGTAAATTTGTTTTTAATTTTATTTGTGAGGACTTTTAAGAAAATGGTCCAGGTTTCTTGTTTGTTAAATATCCTAATTTTTCAAAAAGTTTTTTCCGAGTCTCCCTAAAACTACAATTATGAAGATGTAGAAATTTTTTCTCATAATGAAATCTGTTCCTTGAAGATAGATTTTGAAACAAGGTTATATACAACTTTCCAAAAATTTGAGTACTTTTTGCGAAGTTTTGCGTAAAAGTAAGAGTGAGAAAGTATGTGCTGTTTTACACTGCTAGTTTTATCCTGGAATGAAGCAGAAGAGTGACAGTTTTTTGTGGTTTAATTTGTTATTTCCAGTTCCTTAGGGAATGGAAAATTTGCGAGAGTATTAACTTTAATTTGGTTTTTGATTCCAGTAATATTCCAAGGCTAATCATCTAAAGAAGTCGAATAGCCCCTGCATTGCAGATGGATCTGTTTTAAAATTTGATCTTAGCAGGATTTTGTAACAAGTTTTGTGAATGTTAACAAACTAATGGAAACATCTTTAAGAATTGTAAAATGAAATGAAACAAAAAATAATGGGAGAATTTTCACTTATTAAGCAAGTTTTATGTGCTCACCAATGAGTGTTCTTGGTACAGGAATTGTTTAAACTCTTGTCTACTGGAAATTTTATGTATATGAGTGAACATTTGAAATTGTTTTATGAATGTGAACAATGTGGACTTAGGAATTTAATTCCATTAGAAAATGTACCTTTTTCAAGTAATGCATGTGGTTGCATGAAGAATGATATAGAAGAGATATTGGACATGGCTTACTATGGTGAAAGTTTAATTAACTGTATAATTCTGTTTGTGTTCTAACTATTTGATAAACAAAATATCGTCAAGTCATTTTATAATTGCTATTAATGCAGAACCACTAGAAATGTTTGTTTTTGTGCTATAGTGTTTTACAATGTTAGGCCTTTTTTCCCCACAACATGTTTGATTCATCAAATTGTCAGAAATTAAGGCAATTGCACTTACACAAGCATATCCAACAATTCTTATTTTTTAGTCTTAATTACATTGTATTCTTTTTCAACACTTACATATGATTTTGGTATCTTTTCTTTGTAACATTCAAGTAATGTAATAAATTAAGAGATCACAAACAAAAGAAAGTATAAACAATCAAGTTGAAAAGTCTGGAGAATCAGTTAGATGAAGCATTGAACTCCCCTGATCTTCTTGGTAGTGGTAAATTGAACTAATATATTGTCTTTAATTGCCTATGGTATTTCTTAGTGTTAAAAAGTATACATTACTGGTATTATGTGAAAGAAAAATTATTTTTAATTTAATCAGCTGAATATAAAGGTTTTTCAAGACATGGTGTTATATAGTATTCACAGGAAATTTAATTATTCAGCTTTTTAATAAGTGGTTTTATATTTTCTTACCATTGAGGGAGAAATCATTAAACCACCAAGATACCATTAAGGGAGAAACCATTAAACCACCAAGATACCATTAAGGGAGAAACCATTAAACCACCAAGATACCATTAAGGGAGAAAAAGTTAACACTACAAAAATTAACTTGTATGTTATAATAAATTTAGTGACATTGTTTTCAGTTCATTAAATTCAAACTTAAAAAGAGTATATTTCTCTTTTTTTTTAAGATTAAATTTAATTATTAATGTCTGGTTTATCTGTGGAAAATGAATTAAGTTATTAAATTCAATGAAATGATTTTACTTTGACTTACAAGAAATTTTAAGAAATATATTGAGGTGACTCTAAAATGTCATGCTGATGTGCATGATCTCTGTTGGACTGGTGTTCCCCCTCTTTCTGTATCCGTTTTGGTTTACAAGATCTTTCATTGTTCTTATTGTCATATATTAATACTGATATGTAAGATTATTATAAATTTCAAGGTATGAGCCTGTGATGTCTCAAAATATTGAAAACTACATAAAATATTTTTATGTAGTGCAAAGGTATTTATTATTGTTACTTGTAAAAATTAATGGAGGATGTCCTAAAAAGGAGTTTTGTTTTTCTGAGTACTTTAATGGCTGTGGTATGTCAGGGTTGATATGTGAAGCATACCTGTTGTGAAAATACATTTTTAAAAGTGTGGTTGTATATTGAATTTGAAAATATATTTTGCAACAGTTGTTTGTGTTGGAAATGGAAATGAATAAAAATTCCTTGAATTTCAAGGAAATATTGTTAACGGTATGAGTCTTATTTCAATTATTTAGAATAAATTTGTTTCCATTTCTCCTGGTTTCATGTGTCCCCCCCTCCCCCATCATTCTCTTAGTTTGTAGCAGAAGCAGCATTACTTATAACTGCTACAAATAAGAGAGAAAGTTAGCCTTTTAAATGTATCCTGAAGTTCTTTTTATTTTCTCGCCTATTGCTTACACAGTTCAGAGAAAATATTGTAGCATCAAAGTGTGAGCAACACAGTGTAAACCATAAGGATTTTTACCGAAATTGACATTCTGCAATCGATGTGTCTGATGTCAATTTGCAATAGTTGTTTTTGCAACCCTTTCAATTTGAAACCTATTTCAATTTTTGGGGGTACTAATATACAGCTTAAAAATTTTCTCAAAATAAGGTGGCAATTTTTTCCTCTGATGAGCAAAAGCTGCTTAAAAAAATGGCGTAGGTTGCATTTTCGTTGAACTCCCTGGATTTTGAAAATTACAAATTTTCAATTTTTTTTAGGTGTCTTCCTACAATTATAATAATGAATGTAGACATTTTTGCTTAATGAACCTGTTTATCAAAAATAAATCTTTAAATAAGGACAGGTGAAATTTTTTGAAGATGAGTAATTTTGCTTGCAATGCAATTTTCAACATAATTTTTTCAGAGGCTCCAATTTTTTTCCTGGGATGAAGCAAAGAAAGGTAAAGGTAATGGTGCTCATCCCATTTTCCCCTAAAAACTATATTTTTGAAAATTGCAAACAAAAGAACTAGCATTACAAACCACGTATTTCCTCACGTTATTTCTCTAGATTCAATTTGAGTTCACAAAATGTCTCGTGTCAACAATGCTAGCGGCTAACCCCATCATAAGTATTTTTTTCAAAATTGATGTATATTTTGTATTTTAGGAGTAATTTGCATGAAGCGTCAATACCTTTGAAGTATCAAAAACAGTTCTAAGTAGTTTTGCTACATATTGTTCCATGGGTAAAGCTGAAAAACTGAAGGGGCAGTTGAACTCTGAAGTTTTGAAAATTGCAAGAGTTCAAATTGTTTTGAACGTCTTCCTACGTACAACTACAGTAGTAGTGTATAATAGTGCACCTGATTCAGATTTTTACATCAAAAAATTACAATTTTTACTAACTTACAACATTTTTATAACAATTTTACTTCATATTTTAGTGTTTAATTTGTATTATTTTTACAATGATTTTATTTGTTGAAATCCATTGAAAGACATAGCTCAGATTGTGACAACACCAGAACATTGGAAATTTCCTCATCATAATCACAGTTTCTACCAAATTTAGAATTTTGAAATATCTGGGTTGTTTTTTCTAAAAGTCAAAATATTATAATGTTAACACATTTTACGTTATTTTAGATGTTGAAACGTCTAAACCACATTTTTTCAACAAGAGGAACGACTGCCACTTTTTATCACTAGAAATTGATATATTAAAATTAACTTTCATAAAAAAATTACCTTGTAAATGGATGTTGTTTCAAAACTGAATCAAGCTAATATCATGTTAGCATATCCAAGAAAGATACGAATTAATGAAAGATTGTGAATATCTTGTTGCTGATGTCAAAAGCATAGATACAAAATGTGGATATAGTTGTTTTCAAATCTAATAAACCAGGCCAAATTTGTGGTGTATTTTTATTAATTCAATACGCCAATTGATTAAGAAAAAGATTTTAAAGATCTTCAAAAATTATAGAATTTGAGATTAGTGTAAAAAAGATTATTAGAGATAGGTTATCCATCTTACCACAAGCTTTTGGAGGTATAACAGCTATTTGTCAACGGTCATCAGGAGCAATTTTATATTTTAATATGTATGATATCATTAATCATCTTAGTCTTAATTTATAGTAAATTAATATCCAAAACAAATTCAAGAAATTGATCTACCTTAACAATATTAAATTTTAATTCAGGTAAAACAATTTTATTTTATAATATTTATTTTGCTGAAATTGAATGTAGTCTCAAAAAGATAAATTATGATATATCAAAACATTTTTCATGTGTTCCACTATCAATGGATACAGGATTTAGATACATGAATGGTATGATTTATTTTCTTTATCAAATGTTTTATGAATTTTTAAAAAGCTTAGTGAAGGCAGAAAATTTTAATTTAACACTATTGAGTATTGATTGTAATAAAAATGATTCAACAGTATCACAAGTTACTGAAAAATGAAAGATATTTTGAAGATATAAAACACATAAATTCTTTGAAAACAATGGATTACTTTTATCCTGTATAAGTTATGGAGTCTTATAATTAAAGATACATAAAAATAAAGAGTATTAGAAAAAGTAGAGTGATATATGCATAGAAGGAGATGAAATAAATTAAAGAAATGTCGCATGTATCGAATAGAAAAGGAATTAGTTGCATTTTATAATCATCAATATGTAACTGATGGCCACACATTTCAGTGTAAAGATTATGTAAATAAATATTAGAGAACAAAAGGACAATGTTCTTATGGATGTATGGTAAATAGAAATTATTTACAGAATCATATGAAAAGGAATACAGTAAAAGTCCGCTTTTACGTTCCCGAAATTAAAATTCTTCCAGGCAATTATATTTCTTGTCTGTTTCACTTAGTAGGGGAAAACGTCCATATTTGTAGTGAGGGGGGGGGGGGGG